ACCCAAATAAAGAGCAACATTAAAAAAACTTGGAGCACAATTTCACAAATATTGGGATCAAAGAAGATTTTAAATAACAAACCAACACTCCTGTCCAATAACGTTGGTCAGCTTTCAGCCTCTGATTCTGCTATTGAGTTCAATAGGTTCTTCTCTTCCATTGGGTCATCCCTTGCAAATGATATTCCATCTTCCAGTACTGATGTTAATGACTATCTTACAGGTAACTATCCACAGTCTCTGTACCTAAAGCCTACTAATTCCACTGATGTCAATGAGATAATCCTTTCCCTTAAAACCAAGTCTAGTGCCCTCGAGGAGATACCAACTTTAATTTACAAAAAAGCCTCCAGATCTTTAGCCCCTGCTATTGCATTGCTCTTCAACAAGTCACTTGAACTCCAAACCTTTCCAGACATTCTAAAAAAAGCAAGAGTAACCCCTGTCCACAAATGTGGTGATCACACAGATGTTAACAACTACAGACCTATATCAATCCTGCCTAACTTGTCAAAAATATTCGAAAAACTAATCTACAAGCAGCTTTACTCTTTTCTAGCCAAACACAATATACTTAGCTCATGTCAATATGGCTTCAGACCCAAAAAAAGCACTAACGATGCACTTATTAGTATGATTAACTTGATTCACGCAGCTCTTGATAAAAAGGAGTTCCCTGTTGGGTTATTTGTGGACCTGCGTAAGGCTTTTGACACTGTCAACCACCAAAACCTTCTTCTTAAATTACATCATTATGGAGTCAGAGGACACTCCCTGCAATACCTCAAATCTTATCTTACTGACAGGCTCCAGTATGTTTCTGTGAATAATACAATTTCTCCCACCCTACTCATCAACATTGGTGTTCTTCAGGGCAGCATACTTGGCCCTCTCCTCTTTCTCATCTACATTAATGACCTTCCAAATGCCTCCCAACACCTCAAACCAATTCTAATTGCTGACGACACAACCTTCATTTACTCCAGTCCTGACCCCCTTGCTCTAAATGCCACAGTAAATACTGAGCTAGAAAAGTCCATCTTTGGCTAACTGCCAACAAACTCACCCTTAACATTGACAAAACGTTTTATATTCTGTTTCGCAATAAATCCTCTAATCATATAAATCTCAAAATAAACAATACCCAAATTTGTAACAAATTAGATGGCAAATTCCTTGGCGTTCTCATCGACCACAAGCTGAATTTCCAGGGACACATTCTAAATATATCAAAAAAGTTTCAAAAACTGTTGGCATTCTTTCTAAGATCAGATATTATGTACCCCGCCCTGCCCTGGTGACTCTCTATTACTCCCTCATCTATCCATATCTCAACTATGGTATTTGTGCTTGGGGTTCTACTACCCAAAATCATTTACGTCCTCTAATTACTCAACACAAAGCTGCTATTAGGACAATATCCAACTCTAGCCCCAGACATCACTCGGTACCCCTACTCAAATCTCTGAATATGTTAGATATTAAGTCATTGCACATTCTCTCATGTGTATTATACATATATAAAACGCTGAACTGTAATGCCAATCCTGACCTCAAAAGATTCATTGAAGGTTGTAACAGAACCCATGAGCACCACACCAGAAATAAATACAGTTTTGATATTCCTAGAGTACGACTTAATCATACTAGAAATGCTCTTCAAATCAAGGGACCCAGAATGTGGAATGATCTTCCCAACCATGTTAAAGACTGTACCTCTCTCAACCAGTTTAAGATAAAAACGAAGCACTACCTAATAAATTCCCTGTAACCTACCTTATCCCTCTGTTGTCAACCCATGTATGTTTTTTTTTCAAAACAACGCTGTTTGAATGTAATTTTCTGTAATAATTTGTAATTGTATTTGTGCTGCTTTTTCAGCCATGTTCCCCCCTCTTTTACCTCTATTTTTATTTGTTCTCAACACATTTTATTCTTTTTACCCATTAGTTTTAAGCTTTAGTCATTAACGTTTTTCCTGCCCGAAACGCTTTGCGTAATAGTGGCTTTGGGCATTGTATGTACTAGCTCTATGTATTAACCCAACAAACTTTGTAAAATCTCTTTATGTATGTACCTTACCTAAATAAACATTTTTTTATTTATTTATTTATTTATTTATTTATTTATTTATTTATTTATTTATTTATTTATTTATTATGCACTAATCTATCCCTATCTTAATTATGGTATCTGTGCATGGGGTTCAACCACTGCAAACCACCTCAAGTCCATCATCACCCAGGAAAAATCTGTTATCAGATTTTAGCTAGACATTTAATAATACAATCAGAGGTACTTTTTCTTTGAGGAACCCAAACAAATTACTAGACAGCTGATCACCTATTATATATAAAAGTCTATTTAAAATGATCCTCTCCATCATCTTACAAAAACACGAGGTTAAGGACAGGTCTGTACTCTCCATTGGCTTTAGGGATAGGGATGATCATAGCTTTTTTCCATTTACTGGGAATACTGCCCTCTTTATAACTAATATTAAAGAGGTCTAAAAGTGGGCTTTTCGTCATAATGGCAAGTTCATTAAGTATTTCATAAGTTACTCCATCCTCCCCAGGGGCGGTAGATTTCCCAACTTTAATCGCCGTTATTAGTTCTTCTCTGGTAATGCCTGTGCAAGTGACACCACGACTGTTACCTGCTGTAAGTATAAAATCCTTTCTTAGATCTTTCCAAGAATCTAATGACTCTCTCGTTACAGCGGGTAATGAACTAAGTTTGGCAGCTTCCGCCCATTTATTTACGAGACCATTTGCAATTCCTTGCGGGTCAGGATGTGCAACAAAATTATGCTTTTTACCCCTTATTTTATTTACGTCTTGCCAGATTTCCTTCAAGTTTCTGTTACTCCCAACTTTCTCTGCAAACTCCTGCTAATACTTGCTCCTAATTTCCTTTATCTTCTCCCCACACAGCCTAGCAACTGCCAGTAAAGCATTCTTCCCTTCCTCAGTCCTACCATTCCTATTCTAATTTCAGTGAGCTCTTCTCATTGTCAATGTCCACCCCTTAAGCATCTTGTCATGTGTATAATTTTCTTTTCTGGTTGGATGCTTTTTTATACTAGATGTTTTCCGGTTCAATGTTGCATTAAATACATCTACCTCCTTAATTAAATCTTCATAAAATGCTTCTGCCGAAACTGGCTTATAAGTATTATACCAAGACTTAATATGGCCAACAAGACCCCTTAATTCTCCCTCATTAAACTTTAACCTTTTCCTCTGAAGGCAGGCATGCTTTTTATCTAGTTTAAGCTGTATTTGTAATGCAAAATTATCACATTTCATCCACAGTAAGACAATTCCCCTCTATACCCTCAGCATTTATCAAACAAGCATAATCTAATCTCCCTCCCCTCAAATGAGTAGGAGAGGGCTCGCCCAGCAGTTGAACATCTTCATGTTCCTGCAAAAACTGGTACCATCTGCAACCATTTCTATTTGCTTTACCCCTTGATCCTAAAGCTGGATGTCTAGCATTAAAATCCCCTACCACAAGTGTATCTTCAGAAAAGAAGGAATCTGGCAAGTATCTTAAATCAAGGGAGCTATCAGAGATGTATAGATTAATGAAATTTAACTCTTGGTCCTTTAATTGTATCCGCAAGCTAATACTTTCAATACCTCTATATCTCTGAGGGATTCCAGTTATCTCAGCAGGTATGGTACTTTTGACATAACATGAGACCCCCCCTAGTTCCTACATCAGCATATAAATGAAAACCTCTATAGCCATTTAGCCTCAGAATGCTACCATCCCTATCCCCAGTTTCCTGGAGTGCTACTTATCTATTTATTTATTTATTTATTTATATATATACAAGAAGGTACATTGGGTTTGTGAGAATACATTGGATAGTACAGTATTTACATTCTTGTAAAGCCACTAGTACGCACAGCGTTTCGGGCAGTCAATATCCAATGTCAATATAATTGTACAATATACAATGTCAATATTGTACAATATTGTACAATGTACAATGTAATGTACAATGTACAATATTGTGTCAATATCAATGTACAATATACTATGTCAATATCCTCTCTAAGAGTATAATAGTGTACATCCACCGCTCTAGTTTTTAATCAATTAACGTTCCAAGATAATATTCTCAATTTACTTTCATCCATGATTAATAATAAAACTACCTTTGCCCTGTCCGTCACATTCCATGAGATACGAGAGTACCTTAGAAACTTCCTTCCAACACCGTAACATTTTTTCTTTCTCCTCACTTGCACAACTACTACTAACATCGAAGGTAATATTATTCATATCTATTTTCTTTGTTATTTCTGTATACCGTTTTACTTTAACCTTTCTTTCAACATTTGTCACAACAGGAGGTTGAACACCGCTAACACTACTAGAAAGTGTATTCTCCTGACTATACTCTATCATCGTTACGTCATGCACATCATTACTTTCTTCTACGCACGTTTCACTTTCGATTTCACGTCCTGTTTTACTTTCAATTGTGTAATTCAAATAATTCAATAATTACCATTGTGATCATTGCTGTCTTCTTATATGTGCTATCAATCTGCTGTATGGTGTCTATTAATCTTGTTTAAATTACCAATCAAGCTGTCAATGTAATCAATCAGAGCTTTAATATACCAATGTGCTTTAATATACTTACTAATCTCTCTCATCATATTTTTTTCTTGCAATGTATCTGTTATCATTGTATTAATTCTGCTAGAATTTACCTACTTAAAATTATCTGTTAGATTAAGGACCTGCCCGAAACGCTGCCCGTACTAGTGGCTTTACAAGATTGCAAATACTATGCTATGTATTCTCTCAAACCCAATGTACCTTCTTGTATATAAATAAATACCTTGCGTACTTTAGCAGTAAAGTCCCCCATGATTTAATGAAAGAAAACGAACACAGACCAATGAGAGAAAATGTGTGTGCGAGGGTCTGGCGAGGGAGCAGGCGCGCAGCAGACGACGCTATTTCTGGGTGTCGGCGGCGGGAGGGCGCAAGGTAGACCCGTCCTTGTGGCTCCCCTCCCCTCGACCCAATGTGGCGCGCCTCACCCGACCTTGGTGGAGTCGGACAAGGGGGGGATCACCACAGCTGTCAAGCTCCGAGGCAAGGTAAGCCGTTCCGACTCTCTAGTTATTTGGTATTACTAGTGTATTTCACTCTAGGAATACGTGAAATGTGCCACAGGAGGACGACGGAATACTTATATTATAAGCAATGCATCATTGGAAGGTACAAGTGGAATAATACGTGGTCATCTTGGCCTGGCAGACGACAAGGCCCGGGAACATACACAGGTATACCGTGACGTGGCCTCCTCCGTATATCTATATATATATATACCAAGTGTATGGTATTGTTGGGCCATCTACAGTGTGCTGCTGTGTTAGTTGTCACATTGTGAAGAGTTTCCGACACCTAGGAACGCCACACACTACCATGCAAATTATTCGGGAATTGAGTGAATGCATCTTTCGAACGCGATCGAAGAAGCCAAGAATACATGGTGCAGGTGTGGTGAAGTACAGGTGTGGTGAAGCAGGTGTGTGGTGAAGCAGGTGTGAGATGAAGCAGGTGTTACTGAGAGGTGTTGTTGTGAATGAGAAAGGGGAAGGCTGGTGTGCCACAGGCCACGACCCGCGGAGGCTGATGCTCCCGTATTGATTATTGTGGCAGGTTGAGCGTGGCGTGGGTCACCCAGCACGTGGTGATGACCGCCTCACCACTCACCACCCACCACGTGGTGATGACCGCCTCACCACCCACCACGTGGTGATGACCGCCTCACCACCCACCACGTGGTGATGACCGCCTCACCACCCACCACGTGGTGATGACCGCCTCACCACCCAGCACGTGGTGATGACCGCCTCACCACCCAGCACCCAGCACGTGGTGATGACCGCCTCACCACCCACCACGTGGTGATGACCGCCTCACCACTCACCACCCACCACGTGGTGATGACCGCCTCACCACCCAGCACGTGGTGATGACCGCCTCACCACCACGTGGTGATGACCGCCTCACCACTCACCACCCAGCACGTGGTGATGACCGCCTCACCACCACGTGGTGATGACCGCCTCACCACCCAGCACGTGGTGATGACCGCCTCACCACCCAGCACGTGGTGATGACCGCCTCACCACTCACCACCCAGCACGTGGTGATGACCGCCTCACCACCCAGCACGTGGTGATGACCGCCTCACCACCACGTGGTGATGACCGCCTCACCACGTGGTGATGACCGCCTCACCCCACCACGTGGTGATGACCGCCTCACCACTCACCACCCCACGTGGTGATGACCGCCTCACCACTCACCACCCACCACGTGGTGATGACCGCATCACCACTCACCACCCAGCACGTGGTGATGACCGCCTCACCACTCACCACCCACCACGTGCTGATGACCGCCTCACCACTCACCACCACCCAGCACGTGGTGATGACCGCCTCACCACTCACCACCCACCACGTGGTGATGACCGCCTGACCACCACGTGGTGATGACCGCCTCACCACTCACCACCACCCAGCACGTGGTGATGACCGCCTCGCCACTCAACACCACCCAGCACGTGGTGATGACCGCCTCGGTACTCACCCAGCACGTGGTGATGACCGCCTCGGTACTCACCCAGCACGTGGTGATGACCGCCTCACCACTCACCAGCACCCAGCACGTGGTGATGACTGTCTCACCACTCAGCACGTGGTGATGACCGCCTCGGTACTCACCACCACCCAGCACGTGGTGATGACCGCCTCCGTACTCACCACCACCCAGCACGTGGTGATGACCGCCTCGGTACTCACCAGCACGTGGTGATGACCGCCTCACCACCAGCCAGCACGTGGTGATGACCGCCTCACCACTCACCACCAGCCAGCACGTGGTGATGACCGCCTCACCACTCACCACCACGTGGTGATGACTGCCTCGGTACTCACCACCAGCCAGCACGTGGTGATGACCGCCTCGGTACTCACCACCACGTGGTGATGAACACCTCGGTACTCACCACCAGCCAGCACGTGGTGATGACCGCCTCGGTACTCACCACCCAGCACGTGGTGATGACCGCCTCGGTACTCACCACCACCCAGCACGTGGTGATGACTGCCTCGGTACTCACCACCCAGCACGTGGTGATGACCGCCTCGGTACTCACCACCAGCCAGCACGTGGTGATGACCGCCTCGTTACTCACCACTCACCACCAGCCAGCACGTGGTGATGACCGCCTCGTTACTCACCACCACCCAGCACGTGGTGATGACCGCCTCGGTACTCCCGCCAGCGCGTGGTGATGACCGCCTCGGTACTCATCACCCGCCAGCACGTGGTGATGACCGCCTCGGTACTCACCACCCGCCAGCACGTGGAGATGACCGCCTCGGTACTCACCACCCGCCAGCACGTGGTGATGACTGCCTAGGTACTCATCACCACCCAGCACGTGGTGACGATCGCCTCTATTATCACACCTTCCAGGTGCTCACCACACTAACTACAATTAAGCCAGCACGTGCATGGCAATGACTGCGCGTCGGTAATCATCACCACTCGGTAGTTATCCCGCAAATTAGAAACCTTTCATATGAAGAGAGTGACAAAGCTTAATTTACATTCTCCTAGAAAGGCGAAGAATTAAGTGTGACATGATAAGGTCAGCAGGAGTGCATTGCTCACCAGGTGCCGGAGCTCTGATGGTGGTGCACCGTGGAGCTGACAAAAGCCTGTTGTTTCCTATCCTGTTTCTGTATATGTCACATGATTAAGTATTTCGTGTTTGTACTCACTAATTATCATAAAATATAATTATCAAACAAGTAAAGGAAAGACATCGTTCATGTATTGATCAATTTAAGAAGTTAAAACACTTAGTGTCCACAAAATACAACCAGTGAGAAGTTTCACAAGTTTCCACAAAGGGTCAGGGGATATGGCTCAGGAGTCCACTGAACTAGAGGAGGTCTTGACATTGTAACTATAAGGTGTGAAGGATAAATGAAATTGTTTATGTAATAATCTAAGATGAGGTCTGATAAAGACCTCTTGTGCCCTCTGTAATGCTTTTTGCGCTACCGCTCACAGGATGGGTATGGGGTGCACAATAAACAAGCTGCCTCCGGCGGCAACAATCAAAAAATCAATAGAGGAGGTCTATGTAGCACAAACATAAGTGCTGATACATGATTTGTGATAATTCTTGAGCGTGTTGTTGTAATTATTATCAGGTTCACGTTACTGAATTCCCTCTCACATTCAGCAATAATAATAATAATAATAATAATAATAATAATAATAATAATAATAATAATAATAATAATAATAATATTTTATTCTGGAAAAGTACATACATAGATGCAGAGTTACAAACATAATGTTGGATTTATAAATAGAGCTAGTACAGTACATACAATACCTAAAGCCACTAATACGGAATAAAAAAAAAACTTTGGGGGGAGGGGGGGGGGGAACATGGCAGAAATCAGCAATTGTGCAAGTTGGTCAACAAACAGCATTGTTTAGAAGCAAGACATAGGTTGACATTTTGTCAACCCATTGTTATGGTAGGTTACATGGAGATAATTAGGTAGTATTTAGTTCTACTCTTAAACTGGTCAAGAGAGGTACAGTTTTTGACATGATTGGGAAGGTCCTTCCACATTCTGGGTCCCTTGATTTGTAGAGCATTTCTAGTTTGGTTAAGGCGCACTCTTAGAATATCAAATAGGTATTTGTTTCTGATGTGGTGCCCATGTGTTCTGTCACAATCTCTAAGGAAGCTTCTAAGGTCAGGATTGACATTACAGTTCAGAGTTTTAAATATATAAAGTACACATGAGAGGATGTGCAGTGACTTAATATCTAACATATTCAGAGATTTGAGTAAGGGTACCGAGTGTTGTCTGGGGCCAATGAGAACCCCAAGGAATTTGCCATCTACTTTATTACTAATTTGGATATTGTTTATTCTTAGATTAATTTGAATTGAGGATTTATTACCAAACAAAATATAGAAAGTTTTGTCAGTGTTAAGGGTGAGTTTGTTAGCAGTTAGCCAAAGATGGACTTCATTTAGTTCAGTATTCACTGTGACATTTAGAGCAAGGGGGTCAGGACTGGAGAAAATGAAGGTTGTGTCATCAGCAAATAGAATTGGTTTGAGGTGTTGAGAGGCATTTAGAAGGTCATTAATGTAGATGAGAAAGAGGAAAGAGCCAAGTATGCTGCCCTGAGGAACACCAATGTTGATGAGTAGGGTGGGAGAAATGGAATTATTCACAGAAACATACTGAAGCCTGTCAGTAAGGTAAGACTGAAGATATTGGAGGGAGTGACCTCTGACTCCATAATGATGTAATTTAAGAAGAAGGTTTTGGTGGTTGACAGTGTCAAAAGCCTTACTATAGGTCAACAAATAACCCAACAGGGAACTTATTTTTATCAAGAGCTGCATGTATCAAGTTAATCATACTAATAAGTGCATCGTTAGTGCTTTTTTGGGGTCTGAAGCCATTTTGGCAAGAGCCAAGTATATTGTGTTTGGCTAGATAAGAGTAAAGTTGCTTATAGGTTAGTTTTTCAAAAAATTTTGACAAGTTTGGCAGAATTAATATAGGTCTGAAGTTGTTGACATCAGTAAACAACTTCACCACAAGTGAGATCACCACATTTATGGACTGGGGTTGCTCTCGCTTTTTTTTTTTTAGAATATCTGGAAAGGTTTGGAGTTCAAGTGACTTGTTGTAGAGCAACGCAATGGCAGGAGCTAAAAATCTGGAGGCTATTTTGTAAATTAGAGTTGGTATCTCAGCAAGGGCACAAGACTTTGTTTTAAGGGAGAGGATTATCTCATTAACATCAGTGGAGTTAGCAGGCGTTAGGTACAGACTCTGGATAGATACCTGTAAGGTAGTCCTTGACATTAGTACGGGAGGATGGAATATCATTAGCAAGGGATGTCCCAATGGATGAGAAGAACCTATTGAATTCAATAGCAGTATCAGAGACTGAAAGCAAACTATCGTTATTGGATAGGAGCATTGATTTTTTATTTAAAATCTTTTTTGATCCCAATATTTGGGAAATA